TGAAATGGGAAGGTTGGTGATGGCCACCATTGATGAGAATTCTTCAAAGGTGTGCTTCAACAATGATGTGCTAATGGTGGTAGTTTGTTCACATGCATGGAACTTTCAATTACAAACAAGCACATGTACGTAGGGTATGAGAAGACAACTTGGTCATCTAAGTTAACGGACAATTGTACTACACACTTCGAAGTGACGATGCTAGAGCCAAGTGGCGATGCCTATATTGACAAAGGGAATCTTACTCTTTTACAAGTCCATAGATTTTTGGCCAATGGGTCTACACTTTCTTGGATCAATGCGCTCTGCAGTGGCAAGTGTGATTTATGTTACATTGATGGACAAACTGCAAGATGTTCCGGAGGTCAACCATCGTGTGATTTTGGCACGATTACGAGGTTTCGGTGCGGTAAGAATTGATCGGTTACGATATGAAGCCGTATGTTTTTATGATGAGATCATATATAAATATATAATGTTTTTTTTTTCAAATAAAATGTATATAACTTCAACCAAGAATATAGCCATGCTAGAAAATGTAATATGGATCTTAACTAGTAATTCTTGTACCTTTTTTTTTTTTGGTTGGAGATGCAGGTGGCACGTCTCCTAAGTTCCGCTATGCCTTTTATGGTAAGAGTTCTTCCAACTTTCTTGAATTTTTGCCTTTATGTCTTATAAAATCAACATTCCAGGAAATTGCATTACGTCGTAACTCGTAATTAACAGCTTCATTTTATGTGCAGTTTATACCCTGAAGTTTCAGAATGGCATAAGTAAGCATTATAATATATTTTCCCCCGTTTGCTGATGCTTAATTTCAGTACATGTTAAGTTGCTTTCGCATAGGTATAGTTTCACTGATTCAATTGCACCCTTGTTTCCTCAAGAGTATGGATTTCTTTCCTACCTTGCACTGAGGACCATAATAGGAATGCTTTGCCTGCTGTGGCTAATCATTCACAAGCTCCGGAGACAACATTTATCGACATTCGAGATAATCGAAGGCTTCCTACAAAGCAACAACAATCTCATGCCTATCCGCTACTCCTACAGAGACATCAAGAGAATGACAAGTGGCTTTCGCCACAAACTCGGCCAAGGTGGCTACGGTTCTGTCTACAAGGGAAAGCTCCGAAGCGGACAAATCGTGGCCGTCAAAGTACTCCTCACCAAAAACTCCCGAGACGACGGACAAGACTTCATCAACGAGATTGCTGCCATCGGCAGGATCCACCACGTCAACGTGGTCAAACTCGTTGGCTTCTACGCGGGAAGAATGTCAAACAAACGAGCACTCGTGTTCGACTTCATGCCCAACGGCTCACTCGAGAGGTACATCTTTACCCGCTCGGAGGAAAGTCCGAAACCTCTGAGCTGGGAGAAGAAGTACGAGATTGCGGTTGGTGTGGCAAAGGGGATAGATTATCTGCACCGCGGCTGCGACATTCAAATCCTGCATTTCGACATCAAGCCTCACAACATACTTCTCGACGAAGATTTCACGCCTAAAATATCCGATTTTGGGCTCGCGAGATTGTACGCCACCGAGAAAAATACAGTGACTCTCACGGCTGCTCGGGGGACGATAGGGTACGTGGCCCCTGAACTCATCAACAGAAGTATAGGCGGGGTTTCGTATAAAGCTGACGTGTACAGCTTTGGGATGCTGCTTATGGAAATGGTTGGGCTGAACAGGGACATATTGGGAAATGACGAAGAATCTAGCCAGTACTTTCCGTACTGGATTTACGATAGGTTTGATAAAGGCAAGGATATCGAGACGGGAGAAGCTTATGTAGAAATCGATGATGACGACCATGCGAAAAGAATAGAAAGGAAGATGGCTGTGGTTGGCCTGTGGTGCATACGGATGAGTCCAGCCGATCGGCCCACGATGAGTGAAGTGGTGAAAATGCTCGAGACTCCGAATACTGGGACCTTGCAAATCCCACCTCCGCCATCTCTGCAGCCGGCTCGGATAGTGAACTATAGTACTGATGGGACATCGGGAACAGAACCGACCGGTTCCATGGCATTGTGGGGTGGTGTTAGTTCGAGTGAGATCAGTAATGATGGTCATTAGTAGTATTTTTATGCTTTCAATAATATGTTGTGTGTGTGGTGGTTGCCTGTAATTGCAGTTGAACATGTATTTTCTACTAGAAACAATGTGTGTTTTGCAGTATTTTTGTTGGAGCAATAAAGCAAATTCTACTCTAGACGTGTTGTTAACAGTGGGTAATTAGGATATGATTTAACAGAAATAGGTTTGGACAATTCAGTATAAAGAAGTGTGGACTGTGTGTAGGTCCAGCCCAAAAAAAAAAAATGAAAAAAAAAAGAGAAAAGTCAAAGAATGCGGCCCACACCTATTGATCTTCCACTTCAAAGAGAAAAGTCAAAGAGAAAATTCTAACGAGCATCTTCTGTCAACACAACAGTTCCTCTTTGATCTTCCACTTCAACTTCAACATTTTCTTGGATCGGACTATCTCGAATCTCCAACATATGGTCCCATTGGCCTTCCACCTGATCGTGAATTTGGCTATCGCACGTCAGTGTTTCAATAAAATCAGAAGTGTGATTGTTGGTTTCTCCCTCAACAAGATTTTCAGTCGGACTATCTCCAATATCAATCACACTATCTCGATGACCTTCCAGTCCCTCGTGAGTTTCTTTATCCCACGTAAGTGTTTCAATGACCTCACAATTCTGATTGTTCCTTTCTTCCTCAACAGGTTTTGCAACAAGTCGTACGCAAAGAGGATGTTCGTCACAAACGGATAGATACCATTTCACATTCACATCACAATCGATCTTCACCGGGGGAACTGGAAATTTGTTCATTCTTGGATTGAGTGATAGCATTTTCATTACATGGGAAGTGCTATTGAACTTTATAAGCTTCATGACCACATCTTCAAGCTCCAAGAATGATATGTCGAAGGGAACATAAAGAGGAATTACATTTTCTTCATCTTCCTTCACATATCCCCACGTCCAAGTGCCATCTACATTCTTTTTAAAATCAACATAGTAGCATACTTGTATCCACACCATCTTCGTTAAAATCAATATCTACAAGAAAAAATTATTTGTTACTTCGACAATATAAATATATGTCTTGTCATATGACATAATGCATCTACATTACGTAAGACAATCTAAATTCGATATATCATGGTAAGAAATGAAACTAACAAACATGTATTCTTCACATAACAAATCTAAGTTCGTTATAAAACAATCACACCACAAATTTGCATTCATTACAAGATATTATACATATAACAAATATACAATCGTTATCAGCCACCAATAACGACTGCAGAATCGTTCCTTTAGTATTCAACAAAAAAATCAAAAAAAAAAAAAATTATTGGCACAACAAAACATTATTACCATCAAACAAAAATGTTTATAAATCATAAAATATGAACTAAAATGCTACTAAAATTAAAATGACAAGAAACCCTACCCCATAAATTTTTTGGCACTTTTCTTGTTCTTCAAGAAAATATGTTGTTTTATTCTTCTTCAACAATCAACACATTTGTTTGGCCATAAAAAATTCAAAATGTACACGTTTTCTTAGAAATTGAAGAATGAAAGAAGAGAAGATTTTTTTTTTGGGCGTCCAGTGAAGGGAGACAAAAAACGATCAAAATTCTCCCTTTTTGATTTTTTTTTTTTGTGCAAATTATAACAAAACCGTTCAGTTTTGTTTTTTTTTTTAAATATAAGGGTATTTTAGGTTTTTCAAATATTTATTTCTCTTTACTTAATGGTTGGGTCATTTGGACAAATAACATTTTCACGATCCCTTTTAAATAATTAAACCCTTTGACTATCCCTAATAAATAAAGCTCCCCAATTTCCGATTACGGCCCAGTCTTCTACATTCACCGGCCACACTCATGTGGTCCTACCCGACTCGATTCCAGATTAATCGGTTCCCCTGTAGATCCTGAAACCGGAAGGTCCATGTACAAAAAAGAAAAAATCTTCCTCCATCATTCCCTCCGTCGTGTCTTCCACGCGCTGCCCTGGGTATGAACGTGGGGAGGAGGGGAGTTTGCTGTTTCAGGACTTAAGTCGAACACCTTGTAGGCTTAACAAAATGGATTATAAGCCGTCACCACCGCCGATGTCTGGTCCGGCATTCTCATGGCGGCGTCTGGGGTCCCGATAGCTGCGGTGTGGTACTGGTGCAAACGACGTCGCTCGTGGGATTGTGGCCAAACCAGCCATTTTTAGCTGAAATTTTAGAGGTACCTCCACACTTCTTTATATTGAATTGTCCGAACCTAATTCTGTTAATCCTATTTAAATAGCCACTGTTAACACGTCTAGAGTAGAATTGGCTTTATTGCTCCAACAAAAATACTGAAAACACATATTGTTTCTAGTAGAGAATACATGTTCAACTGCAAATACAGCAACCACACACAACATATATTGAGAGCATAAAAATACTAATGGCCATCCTTATTGGTCTCACTTGAACTAACACCACCCAACAATGCCATGGAGCCTGTTGGTTCTGTTCCCGACGTCTCATCACTATAGTTCACAATCTGAGTCGGCTGCAGGGATGGCCGTGGTGGGATTTTCACATTCTCAGTATTCGGAGTCTCGAGCATTTTCACCACTTCACTCATCGTGGGCCGATCGGCTGGACTCATCCGTATGCACCACAGGCCAACCACAGTCATCTTCCTTTCTATTTTTTTCGCATGGTCGTCATCATCGATTTCTATATAAGCTTCTCCTGTCTCGATATCCTTGCCTTTATCAAACCTATCGTAAATCCAGTACGGAAAGTACTGGCTAGATTCGTCCTCATTTCCCAATATGTCCCTGTTCAGCCCAACCATTTCCATAAGCAGCATTCCAAAGCTGTACACGTCAGCCTTATACGAAACCCCGCCTATACTTCTGTTGATGAGTTCAGGGGCCACGTACCCTATCGTCCCCCGCGCGGCCGTGAGAGTCACCGTATTTTTCTCAGTGGCGTACAGTCTCGCGAGCCCAAAATCGGATATTTTGGGCGTGAAATCTTCGTCGAGAAGTATGTTGTGAGGCTTGATGTCGAAATGCAGGATTTGAATGTCGCAACCTCGGTGCAGATAATTTATTCCCTTTGCCACACCAACCGCAATCTCGTATTTCTTCTCCCAGCTCAGAGGTTTCGGACTTTCCTCCGAGCGGGTAAAGATGTACCTCTCGAGTGAGCCGTTGGGCATGAAGTCCAACACGAGTGCTCGTTTGTTGGACATTCTTCCTGCATAGAAGCCGACGAGTTTGACTACATTGACGTGGTGGATCCTGCCAATGGCAGCAATCTCATTGATGAAGTCTTGTCCCTTGTCTCGGGAGTTTTTGGTGAGGAGTAGTTTGACGGCCACGGTTTGTCCGCTTCGGAGCTTTCCTTTGTAGACAGAACCGTAGCCACCTTGGCCGAGTTTGTGGCGAAAGCCACTTGTCATTCTCTTTATGTCTCTGTAAGAGTAGCGGATGGGCATGAGATTGTTGTTGTTGCTCTGTAGGAAGCCTTCGATTATATCGAATGTTGACAAATGCTGTCTCCGGAGCTTGTGAATGATTAGCCACAGCAGGCAAAGTATTCCTATTATTGTCCTCAGTACAAGGTAGGGAAGAAATCCATACTCTTGGAAACAAGGGTGATTGAATCAGCAAATAATTGCTCTATTTAGTATTGCCATCTTCATAAATATGTGCACGTGTGTGTACATAATGTAGTTATAATAAGAATCACATTCTAGTATGAGAACCATGTTTAGCGAATTCTATATGATACTACTTTTGAATAGGGATGTCAATAAAACCCATAGGATCGGGTTACCGGCATTTTTGGGACGGGTATACTCGGATTGGGAGGGGTATAGCTTTACTACCCAAACTCCGGGTTTGGTCGGGTTCGAGTTTAGTGCAAAAAACCACAACTCGACCCGTTTACCCTAGGGGGGAGCATGTGTTCTTACAATTTGAAAATAATGAAAAATCTCCGAAACCATACCGAAATTCAGAGATCACTATAATCCAATCTCCAGAACTGTACCAAAATTTCGATTCGGTTCGGTCTTGACATTTTTATTTTTCGGTAAAGTTCGGTTTGGTATTCAAGACCATCGGGACGATTCAGTTCGGTTCGGAGCTCTGGAGATTTGTAATTGTATTTTTCAAATAACTATTTAATTATAGGAGTTTTCTCAATCTAAGCCATGAAAGATGGATTAACTATTTAAAGTTTGATATGCTTTAAAGAAATCCAGTATTCATGAATACTTAAGCATAGTAAATATTTTATTCGAAATCGACTTTATAAAATATAGAAATAACTCAAAATTTCAAATAAGTCTAAATTTGTGCAACTAATGATCTAAATTGATATCCAAATATAATATAATATAATTTTTTAAGTATTTCATTAACTTTTTATATCATTTTAGTGGAATAAGACTAAGAAAAGTATCAATAAATATAACAAAAGTGTATTTTTTAATTAATTGTAGATCAAATATTATTAAACATGAAATTAAGTGAAGTTCAAATTTTTTTACTATATGTTATTAAGTATTTTAAAAGTGCTCAAAATATATATGATTGATTGATATAATATCTATGAATAAGACACATCTAATACTATAACCTGATTATTAATTTCAGTTCAGTATGGTATGTGATGGTTCGGTTCGGTCTTCAATACTGATATTTGTGAAAATCTCCAGAACGGTGCCAATTATTATTTTTTTGGTTCGGTTCAATTCGGAGAAAGTCAAACAATCAAAGATTGTTTTTCAGTTTGGAGTGAATTCAGTTTGATTTTCCGAACGATTTGAAATTCTCTGCCAGTCCTACCCGCAAAACACTTAAAATTACAAAAAAAAAAAAAAAAAAATCATATTTATATTTATATATGAAACTTTATGATTATAAAATTAGTCGTGCCGTATGTGATTAAGAAAAAAATAGAGGATTTTGTATTTTCACACTGATGGTTAATATTTTTTTTCGTTATTAATATTTTACATTTGTTATCAAATTTTATTATAAAGGAAAGGTAATTACTTGTTTATATCTATATATATCTATTGAAAGAGGTTGATGAAATAATTCAAAATAGTAATTTTGACTTTGTATTAAATATGTTGACTTATTGTTAAAGGATATATAGTAAAAATTACTTAAATATTTATAAAAAAAATAAAAATTAAATTATACATACCTATTGTAATCGTGCAATCAGATTAATAACACGATTTTATGTATAAATAAAGTTGTATCAATTCTGAAAATTATTTTTGTGATAATTATCGCAATAAAAAATTGTCACTGCAATTTTTTATTCTTTTGGTAACGAACCATACACAAGCTCATTCCGCAGCTATCATTGTAACAACAAACATTTGCTAGTCATTCTTTCGGAGAACCTTTCTCCTCGTCGTTTCCTTGCAGATCGGCGAAATCGTATGTTGTTTTATTTCATTGTTATTTCATATCATACTACATTGTATATTCACACAATACACATCAACATCTATCTAGTCATCACTTAGCTACCCTTTGTTTCGAATTAAGGATCGTTGGTGATCACTCGTCAATAGTTATAAAAAAATTATAATTATTTGTTGGATTTATTTTAATCTTTCGAACCTTGTTAACAATTTATTAGTTATATTATAATTGATTGTGTAGTAATATTTAATTTTCTTTACATTATACATGTCGGAACGGGTTGATATCCCCAGTTAAATGAAATCGGGTTACCCATTTACTCGAGGGGTACACGATTATCAGTTTGTTAAACCCGACTCGAACCTGGAGACTAATAAACGAGTAACGGTTCGAGTTCAAGTGGGGTAAAATGTATGTGAGTAGGGCTAAAACTCGCACCCGACCAATCCGCCCGTTTACATCCCTACTTTTGGACCGTATATTATTTAATTTCTCTCAGTGAATCTACGTATATTAAGATGAGCAGAAATTTTAATGCAAAAAGTTACATAAGACCCTATGTTTTATATTAATTGAGTAATAATTATGTTTATTTAATTGTTATATTATATAATAATTTACTATTAAAACTAACTAATTATATTTAACATTACATAGCATATGAAAGTTACATAAGCATAAAAAATTATATTGTAATATTTTTTAAATTTATGTTTTAAAAACATTATTATTTTTTTAATCTCATTAAGCATTGTTTTTTCTTTAAGCAAACTAATTGATTTTAAAGTTATAGTGAATCTTTAAAATTGCACAAGCGATTGTTATAATAGTAAATTTAATATTTTTTCAGCTACTCAAAATTATAAAAATTACATTATTCGTTACATTTTACCGTGACTCATTTACAAATAAATAATTTTGTCTCTTTAATTTTTACTAATGTTCAAAATTTTAAAATATAATATCATTATGTAACTTATTTTTAGTATTATGCAAACATATATATAACTTATAATACTTTATTTACGTTTGTGCATGTGTAAGTTATAAATACTTTTTTACGTTTGTGCATGTGCACGTGATTGATTACTATTTACTAGTTTATTTTACAAAATAGCGCCAATGCATATATGAGGAGCTAGTCAACTTATGGATCATAGATTTTAATGAATTCATTGATTAAAAAACTCACCGGTTACTATCTGAAGAACATATAGAGTCCCTGCACGTAAATCAAATAAAGATGATTAGCACAAAATATTGTTGATCTGAAACGGTATTGTTGTCGTAAATGTATATAAACAATAGTGAAATATATTCCTCCTTATAATTTCGACATATCGAACATAATAAAAAAAAAAAATGAAAAAAGAACTACTTCCATAGCAAAATGAATGTTTTATAATGAGAAAGAGTAGAATTACAATACTCATATAATACACCTGCTAATTAAAACTTTTATACTTAAACATTTAGAAAACAACAAAAATTATTTTAATTTTTAATTCATGAAAAAATGAACTTTTAATTGTTATTTGAATGACACTAATCTCACGTAAGACTCGTCTGTCTTATATTATAATAATTTTTCTAATATCATATAATATATATATATATGTGTGTAGAATATGCTTGATAAATAAATGTATTTAACAAATAATAAATTATTGTATGACTTTCCATTCAGGAATGATTAGATAATCTATTTTTATCTATAAAACTATATATATTTTTTATTATATATGCGGCATGAGTCAAATCGAAGATTGTTAAATGATAACTAATTTGATATGTTATCATATAAGATAAACTGATAACGAATAAAAAATTATTAAGTTTTAAAATATGCCTATAATTTTAATTGTTTGATATGTTATCATATAAGAAAAACTTATAACGAATAAAAAATTATTAAGTTTTAAAATATGCCTATAATTTTAATTGATAGTATTTTGTAATTTTAAAAGTCCTAACAGTCATGTATACTTTGTACTACTTCGAACACCAAAATTTAGCATATCCCCCTTATATATAATTTCAAAATGCGTTGAGCCTAAGTGGTAGTTTTCGCGCTTCGTAATCTTACATGGCAAAATATTATGCTTTGTAATATGCTTGGATAAAAATTACTAATTTTTTATACCAAATAACTTAGGTTCGTAGTACCATATATATAGACATATTTAATATATTTAAATCATTCCATATAAAATCTATTTATTATCTTCTTTCTATAATTTGCATATAATAATCTTACTTTCCAAATTTTGTGTTTTGTTCATATTATTTCCTTATGTGTTTTATTTAAAAATATTATGAATAAAATTAATGAGGTACATAAATTAGTTTTCAAAATTTAATATAATATTGTTTATTCATTTAGTTATTTATTATAAATTGTTATATATTGTTCTTAATTTATTTTTTCCAACTTCAACAAAAATATAATTATTTTTTTCATTTTTTATTGTACATTTAATTATTTTATCAACCACCCGTGTAGTACACGGATATTGTACCAGTTGGACTATGAAGCATTAAAGTTGATATTTAAGCTACTAGACTGATAGAACAAAATTAACTTTTACCATCACGTTCATGAATTACAATAGGGTAATACATTGGTTGCAACTTGTACTATACGTGTTTTTAGGTTTTCAACTTATAATATTTTTTTGTGAAATGCCACTATGAACATTCGTCATAACCTCATCTATATCTCATCTATATCTTGACCATATGATCATCCTCAACAATGGACTCTGGTCAAAATGCAGGCGAAAAGTTATGAATGTTTATGAAGTTCGTGTTGCATTTGCCAAAAACTACTATAGTCGCAAAGTAAAAAAAAAAAAAAACACTTAAAATATATGTGTGTATATATATATATATATGTGTGTGTGTGTGTGTATGTGTGTGCGTGTGTGTGTATTTTACCCCTTCAAATATGCATGTGGTATTTTCATTGTTTGTCTCCATAAAACACAGAATAGAATTCAGTATTTTGGTGTCAACTTTGACCTGAAGTCGGTCTGATTGTTGCATTAGTCTTTTGGGATATTTAAAATAGTTGGTCAAAACAATAAATGTAGCTGTACAATATACTCAAATTAAGATTATTTACTAAGTAGACAAGGAATGGATTAAGCAGGGGGGGGGGAGAGCTGAAGGATTCTTACAGGAAACGGCCGTGGCGAGCCAGCTTGGAATACCATCTGTGTTCTCCAGAACCAAAA